TGTTTCCCAGGCTGTGCTGTACACAGATGATGGGATTCCCAGACTGTGCTGTACACAGACAGTGTGATTCCTAGGCTTTGCTGTGCACACAGATGGTGTGATTTCCAGGTTGTGCTGTACACAGATGATGGGATTCCCAGGCTGTGCTGTACACATAGATGGTATGTTTCCCAGGCTGTGCTGTCCACAGACAGTGTGATTCCCAGGCTTTGCTGTGCACACAGATGGTGTGATTACCAGACCCCTTGCAGGCCCTGGCCCCTTACACGGTAATGAAATGAACTGCAATGGCGAGTGAGGCAGGCTGCAGGAAGATTCCCCTGTGAAGAGAAGTGGTGTTGCTGGTGAAGCATCACTGTCTCACCTGTTAACTAGAAAGAAAGAACATTCCAGGGGGGAAGAGTAGTGGGAGGGTGAAGAAGATGTTCTGTGGGAAGAAACGAGTGGATTATGTCAGTGTGCAGGGACACACAGCCCAAGAAGGCAGGCCCGGTATGAAATCATGGGCACCGATCAAATGTTAAAAACTTCAATGCCTACCTTTTTGAAGAGACCTGCAGAGCATTTCACATGTCACACATCAGCTTTAATAAATGATCTGTTTTCGGGTGGCGCCTGTGGCTCAATGAGTAGGGTGCCAGCTGAGGAAAGAGAGCTGGAAGTTGCTGTGAGCTATGATGCCACAGCACTCTACCGAGGGTGACAAAGTGAAGCTCTCTCTTAAAAAAAAAAAAAAAATTGAACAATGTGTTTCCTGCTTTACTTGTATACTGTCTTATAATCCAAAAATGGCACTGGTTAGTGCAAAATAAAAGGAGGGGCCAAAGTGACACCGGAGAGCAAAGCCATCTTCGGGAGCTGCTTAAGGCCTGAGCCTTCCAGAATTGAAGTGGGAGGCCGATCCCCTGGGGGGGCACCCTTATGTTCTTCAGAAACAACCAGCAGCCTCCCCCTCAGCCTGGGGACTGTGGTTCTAACTCTCTCTTGTTCTGATTGTTTAGATGTCCTCAATCCTCTACCAGTTATCCACCTTTATCCAAGAAGGACAGGAATTTGCCAATTTTGTTTCAAGTTCCAGATGTATTATCTCAGGTACTCAAATTTTTTAATTGAAATAAAACCAGCAGCAGTTGTAGGATGACATACCTTGTAGAATGGGAATACAATCTTTATCTGCTGAGCCCAGCCCTAGTGCCTGGTATATCATCAGCCTTCAAAAAATACTTGTCAAGTGAAATGAATGAATGCCACCCCCATCAGCCTGTCTCAGTGCCCTAGGGCCCCAGGCCACTAGAATAAGAACAAAGACATAAGGTTAGAATCATGAAAAAGGGGAAGTAAAATTAAATACAGAGGAATCTGCCCCAAGACCATCAGGGACTGCTTTTCAGCCTGTGTTTGGAACCAGTCCTTGTTTCTGGAGTCTCCAGCCCCTTCTTTCCCCAATGGATCATTTCTTGTATGTTAAAAACTCCTCATTGCCCCTCCTCCTCCCAAAGATCACCCATGACTGGCTTCCAGGTGACACTCAGTGGCATCGTGCAGCCCAGCACCTTCTGGAGAATTAATGGTGCTCATGCAATCCCTGAGGTAGAGAGAGGGCGAGAGCAAGCCCTCTTTGTCTAAGCCATTTCTTTCCCTGAAGAACTGTATGTTGTTCGCAGAGCTGCCGCAGGCAGTGCCTGGAATGTTGTTCCTAAAGCACTTGGCATGGTGCCCTGCGCAGAGTGAGAGCTCAGTACGTGTGAACCACAATGATCAGAGCCCCCGTGTCCGTCGATAAATGCGTACCGAGCCCTTTTCATTTGCTTTAGCACAAATACAGAAATGACTAAGTCAGCTACAACCTACACAGAGAGTGGGCAGACGGGACAGGGACGCAACAGCCCCATGAGCCTCAGAGAGAGGGCAAAGCGTTTGCAGGAGGTGGGAGGAAAGGTCACCTCCAGATGGGGATGGACTTCCAGGGAGTAACTCAAGAGGAAGTGGCGTCTGCATTGGATCTGAAGATAATATTTTCACAAGCAGAGGGAAGAGCCAGGGGCAGGAGAACTGAACAGACTCTTAGGGGAAGGGAAGAGTATCAGCAAAGAGGTGGAGACAGAGAGTGCAGGATGTGCCTGAAAACTTCAAAGAATCATGGGCATACGTGGGAGGAAAGCAAGGAGAGGGTGAGCCCAGCTAGAGCACGGGGACCCCAAAAACCAAGAGCGGGGCGGAGACACTCCAGGTTTTCAGCACTGGAGTGTCAGGGTCTGAGCCGTACTTGAGAGTCACCTTTTAGTCCTCCTAACACTCTGGACAGTGGCCACCATGACATGCACTTGGGGTGGGGGCTTCAAGTAGGGAGGCAGGACTGGCCTTGTAATTGCTATAGAACCCCCAAGAAGGCTTGTAGTCACTGAGTCTCTTTGAAATCCCTATTTAGACAGCTTCCCACCTGCCGCTGAGCACCTCCTGGTCCCCAGTTTGCTCTGGGTCTCTGCAGTGACAGCCTAAGGTACTAAGACACCAGACACCAGCTTGGCTGCAGTGAAGAATGGGGAAGGAAAGTATTGATAATGATCTGGGAGCCTGGGAGGCCATCCTCCGGCCGGGCTTTTCGTGGCTGCAGTAGCCAGATATGGGCACTAGATGACAGGAAAGAGCAACAGCCAGCCGCGCGGCCAGTAGGCTGCCTGGAGGCCACCTGGGTGGACGAGAAAGGTCACAGACTCGCTGCTCCTCCCACAAGTTGCGGCACCCTCATCCTTGGGGTGAGAGAAAGAGGGTCACCATTGCAGATTGGAAAGGCAAGTAGGGGACCTGAGATCCTTGTTCTGTCGCTGCACCAGGCAGGTACCTCAAATCAGATCCTTGCCTGTCACACAGACCTGGTCAAATCTGAATCTAGGCCCCCGAGTCTGCGGTGAGCACGAAGGCCTGCACGTGTACGCTTTGAGGCTCATTCAGCAGCTTCTCCTTTCTGGAAAGAGACTATGCTGTGTCTCACGGGAGTGGAATGGAATGTACCGCGGCACTATCTCTTCTTTCATCCTCATCGGCGTCCTGCAGCCAGATAGAGGTCCTGGACCCTGTGCACAGCGCAAAGGTCCCGCCACCTGGCTTCCTTACCGTCAGAGGTCAAAGAGCAGAACTTTGAACATCCACTGCTCCCTGCCCAGGAGCAGCCCTGCAGGGAAGGCAGGTGTGCAAAGAGGAAGCGGGCTCTGAGACACGACGGCAGGGAGAAGGAGACGGCAGCCGACACACACACAAAGGTAGGGACAAGAATCACAAAAGGGAAACAAAGGAGAGGCAGAGCCAACAGAGAAGAAGAGTGGTAGTGAAGACAGACGAAGCGAAACGTTGCCTCCTCTACACACGTACTGCAGCGCGGCTCCTCCTGAGTCACCGTCTCACTGCCATTTCCAGGCAGTGCCTCATGACTCCTCCAGATGCTGAGAGATAGGAAGGTCCAGCATCGTCGTTGGGTGACTGGGCCAAGAGGTGACCTGCTTGGTGAGTCACAGCAAGGCAAAAGCAAATCTACCTGGGTGACACAAGAAACTGCAAGTGGAGATCCTGATCGCCTCTGCCACCTGCTGGGGTTGAGTGTCAATGAGCCAGAGCTCCTGAGTTATCAGTAGATCACAGTTGCCACCCACCGTCTCCATCCCCTACCCCACGCCCCTCCACTCACTTTGATCTGGGTCTGTCGTTCCAGTCTAATGAGTCAGAGTAAAGATGAGAACACCATTTGGCTTTGAGAAGAGGTGGCAAAAAGCCCTGGCTAAAAGCTGGTGCCGGGGCAGAAGCTCAGGGGAGAAGGCACACAGGATGGTGACTACTTGTCTTCTCATCACTCAGAACTCTGTTTATTACTTCTCTCCCCCTTACTCTAAATTTTGGAAGTTCCTGACCACCAAGGAAACTATTTCACATACTCCTAAGTCTTTTGTTTTTTAAATTTATATTGTTTATTTTGCTCAAACACAGATAACTACAAATACAGTTAAGGAGAAATAATAATGAATGCCATTCACCTGAAATAGTATTGGTAATAAAAATAAAATTTAGTAAGTCTGGATGGTAGGTACCTGGCTGGCTATTATATCGTGTATGTTTACAACTTTTCTTAGTGAACAGTAAGAGAGTTTTTGAAACTGTATTCAAACTTATTTTTTAATTCAAATGGCTGGTGTTTTCTGATAGAAGTAACATGAGGAATTATCATTAGGGTTTTTTTTTTTTTTTTGAATATTGAAAATAATTCTCTGACCACAACTTTTGGGACTGTACGTGGTATAGAAATAAGTATGCTTTTATGTGAATCCTCAGTCCACTCTTTCCCTGGGGAAAGATCATCTGTTTTTGACTCTTCTGTCTATAGCTAAGCTTTCTAGCTGACTGAAACTAAATAGATGGGATAGTAGACAAATCTCTTCATGTTTCTAGGCTACAGTTTCCTCACCAGGTTAATTGAAAGAGTTGAGCCCGGTAGCCTACGAAGTCTCTTTCAATTGGGTCAAAAATAGAAGGGAGAAAAGGAACAGAGGTGTCAAGGGGCAAGAGAGAAGCTCATCTGTCAGCGCGCCTCATGTCATGCTTGTGGGTCTTCTTTTTTAAGTCACCATCTGGTGCTTACATTTTCAGTTTTTATGTGAACAGGTGTGCGTGCATGAAAGAGAGAGAGAAACATGCAGGGAGATGGAGAGAAAGAAATATGTTTCTCTACCAAGGATTCGAGAAGGTCAAGGACCTGGGCCGTGAGCCAGCTCTTAGAAACCTCAGCAGGTACTGTCCTCAGATATGAGGAAGTTTCCAACCGTAAAATGTGAAGAGCAGGTTTTGGCTCCCAGGGACTGGCTGAAATCTTCATCATGCCTTGGCCAGGCTACAAATAGGTCGCTGTCCCTTTCCTGTCACAACTGCCATCTGCTGTCCAGAAGACAGCTGCTTGGAAAATGAGAGTCCCATTAACATTTCAGAGCCTCTGGATCTAAACATGGTATAACCAAGGGCTTGTGCTGTGAACTGGACCATTCACCCTCCATTCCTGCTGCTGCCACTGACCTGGCCTTAAGGAAAGCAGGAGAGAGAAGGGAAGGCTGCAGAAGGATAAGACCCAGGTGTGGGGGCTGGGAAAGAAAGTGAGACTCAGAGTGAGGCCTGCAGAACGTGGAGTCCCAAATTGTTTGCATCCACTATGAACTGATCACAGCTGCCTTCCATGCCTCCCCAACTTTGTCACCTTCTGTCCAAATATGGAGGGGCGGAGTAGCTGTCTTTGCAGGCCAGGTTCAGACGATAGTGAGTCTGAGGTGGAGCACAGCCACAGATCAGTGAGTGGGTTTCACCTCCACACGGGAAGCACAGGCAGCATTACCTTTGTCCTTTTGACCACAAAGACCATCATCGGTGGAGGAAGGGAGGCTCAGAGAGTTTGCATGATTGACCAAAGTCACTCAAGCTGCTAATAGAGCCAGGTCCAGAAGCAGAGCTCCTGGGGCTCCCAGCCAGTGCTGCCCCTCAGCACACTATGGAGACTGATTTGGTTATATCCAGCACTGATGTCCTCTGATGTTTCCCCAGAAGGCAGTGTGATAACAGTGCTCTCCATGCACACGTGTATTTTGTGTTTTGGGTATACATGTGTTGATTATATCTATATTTATATCTGACAAAACACTTATGACGACTCATTCATTCAGCCAACATTGGTTGAGAATTTGCTCTGTGCCAGATTCTATAATTGGGTCCAGGAATTCAGAGATGTTTTGGAGATGGTCTTGCTCTTAAATAACACTCAGCCTGGTGGAGGAAACAATCGCATTAAAAAAAAAAAAAAGGAGGAGGAGGAGGACGCAGAGGGGAGTACAAAATGCAAAGAAGGCTATACCAAGTCTATGATACTATCAGACAGGCAGGCACCCAAGTTAGGTTGGGGTGGGAGAGGGGGAATGGCGGGAGAGACAGAGAGGTTTTCTCAGAAAGGTAACATCTATGCTAGGTCTTACAGGATGAGGGGTCTGAGGAGTTAACAAACCTCGGTAGTACCATATATAAAACATTTCATTCTTTAGGTTCCAAGGGATGATGGTCATCATGGTTATGGTACTCTATAATTACATTCACAGTTGTCATTAACCTAGCAAGATCCTGCTGTGCTCCTCAGAGATCTCACAATGTATTTGTTGTTTGGTTTGAAAAGCACAGATTCTAATCTCTGTACCATCTAATAGTATTCTTAGGCAGAACCAGAAGTCTGGGAAAGGGGAAGGAATTAATTGCAGGGAAGACAAGAACCTGCTTGTGATTCTGCTAAAAACAAACCTGACTCTCCCACAAACACCTCTCCGATCCAGGTCTTCCCAATCCCTTCAGGCTAAGGGCAGATTCCACTTCTACAAAGCCTTTCCTGACCCCTCCAATTGGAAGCAGTCCTTCTCGCTCTTCTGAAGGCTGAAAAATATCATTGCCTCTCCTGTAAATATTTAGTGTGTCTGACCTTGAATAACAGTTTCAGAGAAGTATCTCAGTTTCAGACCTCAGAGATATGGGGACTGGATGGAGGAACCTGAGCTGCAGGGGTTACCACCCCCAGGGTATCAGGGAAGACAGGGTAGAAAGTTGAATCGGCCTCAAGCAGAAGAATCAATACCTACGGAGGCTTCCTCTCCAGTCTCCTCACCACCACCCCCCATCCTCCCACAGATGATCTGGCTGGAAGCTGATTTGCTGGGTTATTTTTCCATTTTGTCACACATTGTTTCCTGGGGCTTGGAACACCCTATCCTCTCCTTGCTCACCCCACAAACACCTGCCAAAGCACTGCCTGTTTTTTTAACCCTTCTCCCTCTGCCCCACCTCCCCATGAGTTCACTGAGCAGTGTCACTTTCCCTGCGGCCTCCATGTATTTCCATCAGAGCGCCGACAACACCACCCTACTCCCTGATACACAGTCTGCTGGACAGGGAGCAGCTGGAGGTCAAAAGCTGTGTCCTATTTATCTCAATGTCCTCAGAACCTAATGGACGGGCAAATGAATGACTGTGTGTTCTTCTCTTGTCTTTCTTAGGGCCAGAAACTGTGTCTTTAAACTTTCCTTACGTTCCCAAAGTGTGGCCTCACAATAGATGTTTGTTGCTGAGTGAATGTATCCAGTCATTCACACTCATACTTTGACATACCATCCCACTGCATTGTAATACTGAGTTGATTCTTTTGAATGCCCTATAAAAATGAAGTGTATTTTAACTATTTGTCAAAAGAATCCAACTTTAAGCCCAAGTCCCATATGTTTCTCAGAGGAGGAAGCTACTTGCAGACCAATCTCCCAAAGGTCACCTTAAAATTACACCCGAGGCACTCCCCACACTGCAGAGTTATACCCCTCCTCTTTCTGTTCCCACACCCCCCTGGGGAGGCAAGAATGGGTCAGTACACATGTGATAAGTCAAAGACCAGATAAATTGGAAGGAGAAGACTTCAGCTGATGGTCATCATCCACTTGTCCTTGTGGTCCTTCTTTCCCCACACTTCACATGAAAATACCTCAAGACTTTGCCATCAGTGTGAATGTGGAAGGGTAAGAGACAGTCCCAAAGCATGATTTGAACTTCCAATTCCCATGTCCTCCTTAACCAAACCTTTTACCAAACATGCAGAAGACCCCAGTGTAACTTCCGCATTTCTGCCAATATGAAGTCAGAACAAAAAGCAATGGTCATAGTGAACAGACAGGGGTCTTCACCCTCTGAGCCAGTCATTTCTTTGCCTAGTGAGACAATCCATTCTTCCAGAGGGTGAGGGGCTTGGGACCAGCTCCAGTCCTTTTTATTTGCAGTGCTCATGAGGAAAGGAGGGCCCAGAGGTGCTGGACCATGGGCATGTGAGAGCTGATGCAGGGCCAGAGTTAAGGCACGGGGAAAGAGGACAGTGTCTGGGAGGGGGCCAGGAAAGGAGGTTTGCAGAAGACAGATCTTTTCATTCTTTCTGAGGCCATCAGAGGTCCTCAGTAAGCCCATATGGTGGAGCTTTTGGGCAAATGGGAAAAATGGGCCACCTAATGGGAGAATACAGCTCCTCAGATGTGGGTGCTCGGGTTGGAAAGCAGAGACCCTTCTGGATTTGGGGGGGACAACCCCAAAAACCCACATCCTGGCCTGTGAGTCATTCCTTCCTACCTAAACCCTTTCTTCTTTTTTTTTTTTTTTTTTCTGAGACGGAGCCTCAAGCTATCCCCCTGGGTAGAGTGCCATGGC